AGTTGAGAAGAGAAATTGATGATGACGAGGACGAACCTTTGTAGATATGATAAAGAAAAGTGAAAGGGCGCACTGAGATATTGGCACGGCTCAATCAAAAGAAAAAGCTCAACCGACCAACACACAGCTATTTAGCTTTTTCTCCGAAAAGCTCTCAACTAGCTGCTTAACTTGTCTGAGTGAACCAGGCCAATATCATAGTGACTCTCTCATGGGAATTAGAACAAACAGACAAAACCCGGTACCTGTAATTCTTATTTTTAGGGTAAAAATTACCAGGAAGAAGAAGAAGAAGAAGAAGAAGAAGAAGAAGTAAATGAAGCAAGAATGTGAATGTGAATGTGTGGGAGGGGATTTAAGAAGGGAAGAGAGGTCTGCATGAGCATTTAAAACCGCGACTACCAAAGCACAAACCTGGGCCACTGCATTTAAACCCATTATTCTCCCCATCTCCTCTTTTAATTTCTCTATCTAATTTCATTTTCTTTAATTCTAATTTTTACTGTACATATATTTGTCTAAACTCTATCTTAATTCATATTTACAGATAAAAGTTAATCCCAGCATGTAGTATATTAATTATGAACGTTCTTCTTGTTAACTCAAGAACAATTGTTCTCTTCATAACTATTATAATTTATAGCCTTCAATTTTTTTTTTTTTATTTAATTTAATTACCACTCTATTTCTCTAGTTATAGTTTTAGTATTTACCGTTTGCTAATATATTACCATTAATTACATGAGTGAATCTTTATGCTTGAATTATATCTATTCTTTTGGTTTACTGCAGAACTTCAAATTCTACCGTGGTACATCTAATTATCTTTTTGTAAAAATATAATTACAGTAATTAGGAATAATTACTTTGATGACGACGAGTCATCTGTGTAATTTGCAAAAATAAAGAAAAAAGCCTGCAATATTAATTACGAAGGAAGAATTAACCAGTACCAGTAATTAAACCACATAAATATATAGATATATACAGATTTAAAAGAAAAGGAGATATTAGTGATACTGGGTGAAAAGAGAAGCAAAGAAGGAAGAAGGGTGCAGAAACATTAATGGAGGGGGGAATCTCTCTCTGAGACGGACAGGGCCGCAACATTAATACCCCTTCTTCCCCACCTTTCTCACTATTTCTCTCTCCTTCAACCTTTAAACTTATCACTTGTTCTTTTTCTTATTTTTCAGATGTTCATTCAATTAATTACCTGCTAAACACATTATCATTATCATTATCCTCTTTTTACTCAACTAAGATCAAAGTAAACATTGAGAGAATAAATCTACTGGAGTGGAATAACATTAATGATTTACAGAAGTTCGTATTCTCTAGCTATTAAAATTTATATAATAATTTAAGTTTTTTTTCTTAAGTTACTAATGGAAGTGTGATACAATGTCATTATATAATAATTTATCAAACATAAGGTTATGATACAGAATAGGCCGAACTACAGATGAAAAAAAGTAAGAGAATTCGTCAACACCTATAGCCATGGTGGCAGAGTTGATGCACATCAACAGAGAAAATAATATATTTCTAATGTTGAAACATGATCGATCAACTAGGACATGAATAATGTCAAGCTAATAACTAAACAATTATCTGATTTTACAAAAAAGAAGGGGAAGAATTAAATGTATTATTAGGTATACAGTGTACAATAGACATATGATCATTATACTTCATCTTAATGAAGTAAAATATTCTTAATCAATTGGCCAAATACTGTCCTTAATGAGAGATTTTGTTTTAAGATTCTGGAGTCTTTCATCTTCCATTGTTAGAAAATTATACAATATTTTGAAAAGGTAAAGAAGAGTTTTACTCCGAGATCAAGATCAATCTACATTGAACAACAAATGCTCAAGAGATTCCAAATACATCAACTTAAATGAGGTGAAGACATAAAGAACGAATAGCTAGATATAATTATTTATAATATTTAATGTGAGATAAATCTCAATCTATTTCTTAAACCAATAAATGGGAAATGACACTAACATTCTGCAAACACAATTCTCAACATACACATAACTTGTAGCTTACTGATATGAATAACAATCAATATGTGAGCCTCTTGCTTGTTGTGATCTTGTAAGAAACCAGAAGAAGATAGAAAAGGTGGAGGAGTGAGGTAGGGGCAATGGTGGGAGGGAGGGAGAGGAAAGAGAAGGATTGAGTTGTCAAGATCCAAAAAGAGGACTGCAATGGTGGACCATCCACCATGCCTGGCTAACACAAAATGTGACAAGGAATCCATTATACCCTTTTCTCTCAACACAAACTCATTATTTTATTATATCATAAATACAATTAAACACAAGCATCAAATTTATGGGTACAAATTTTAATCATTCAAAATATACTTCTTCCCTTCTATTAATGTGATTTTATTATTATAACAAATAAAATTATATTTACTATAAGTTTGATATATATATATATATATATATATATACATACATACATATAAATTTAATATGTGATGTATGAGTTTATTGCATTAATTTATATTAACAGAGAGATAGACTAAATTAAAAAGTTTTAAATAATATAGGAACTAAATCATTATTTTAAACATTTTTAGTGCCTGTTTCTATTAAGATTGATCCATTGACAATATTTTTCTTTTATATACAATTATTAACATTTTAGTTTGGTGCTTTGTGCAGGTTTATCCTGATGGTTATCCTGATGGATCTTTATATGTATATATGTAGATATATATACATATATATGACATGAGGAAACCATTGTAATTATATTTATATATATGTATATAACTGACAGAGATAAATATGGGACAGTGTTCATCGCGAAGGTCGGAGGTGGGAAAAGGAAGATGTAAGGATGATGGGCGTGCAGAAGAAAGACGAGTTGGGTGTCTTGGAATTTCTAAAGAAGGATGCTCCAGGTTTTATATTGCTAGAAGATGTGTGGTGATGCTTCTTTGTTGGCACAAATACGGCAAGTGATCGTCATCATCTTCTTCGTTTAACTTGTATATAATTATATATATTCATAATTTCTTAAATGTTTTCATTTCTCTCTTCATCTTATAATTGATTAGTTCCAGTCTGTGTTGATTTAATCTATATATGGTATATATGCATGCATGTAATTAAGTGTGCGTACATATATATATATATATATATGTATTCCTTCCGGTTTTAATTTATGATGAGCAGCAAGCGGTGCTCGTACGCATATATATATATATATATATATAAATGTACGTGTATGCTGTGCAGATACATGCTTGTAAATTATTAGTTTAGACGGGGAACAACAACTTGAAATTTATATATATGATCATATTGCACCGAGTGCCTTGATCTCTGCTATGGGGGTTTCTTTGATCGTTTTCTTCGACAATTAAAATATAAAATTTTATAATTTATTCATAAATGATAGATATATACAACGTTAATGAAAGAATATTGTTCAGCCTGTAAAACTGCAGATATATATTATATTGCCAAATAATTTTCCCTTTTTTTTTTCTCCAAAGAAAAAAATTCTCATCATTTTCTTGTGATATACATGTAATCTATATATATATATATATATATATATATAGAGAGAGAGAGAGAGAGAGAGAGAGAGAGAGATTTGTTGTTGGAAACTCAATTAAGCAAAACCAGAGAAAAGAAAAAATGAATTCTGATAAACATGTGTTAGTATTAATTAGAGGAGGAGAAGATGAGTTAGTATTAATAGTGTTAAAAGGAATGGATGGAATTAACAGATAGAGGAGAGTGTATGTAAATATATATATATATATATAGATGTTCCATATCGTCTTTTCCTTTGTCTCTTATATCCAGGAACAGGAATAAATTGTACTGTTCCTTTCTCTGCAACCACAATCCCTCCCATTTAATACCATATGCATGCCATCCCACAAAAATTTATTACGCTTCTTACCAATATACACTTTAAAATTTATTACTTTTAATTATCATCTACTTCAATCCAAAAACTTAAATAATATATGAATGCACCAATCAAAATAAGTGTTGGCGGATGAGTTGCTTAGACTAGTACAAATGCATATTAATGAATTTGAAATATATATATATATATATCCATGACCAACGTAAGTAAACAATCTACCTACAGCTTGGATGGACATACACGACTAGGAGTTATATGTCAATGTGTATGACTAATGCATTAGAGTTGTTTGCCCATATGAAAAGAATACCTCTTCCCTCCTTCCATTGATATGGCTGAGAGAAACACAAGTCGTGTTCCATGGCTTATAACTTGCAAGACAATATGGTTTGAATTCTATCCAAGTAGTATATCATATGCTTAAATTTCTCATGTTTGGCATTCGGATTTGGTTTCCGCGTAGTATTAACATGGTTGCCCACGAATTAGTTCGAAGGACGGTCTGGAAATTTTATGATTTTGGAAACCTCTTATTTTTCCGGTTTCTCACTTGCTGCAGGATATGATGGTTCATTCTGTTTGGCTTAATGAATTTATCATATTCCTTAAGAAAGAAAGAAATAAAAAAAAAAGAAAAGAGAAAACCTCTAATCACATGTTATACCAAGCTTGAAATTGAATATATACATATATATATAGGTATATCTGGCGTCAACTTCAAGCTTGCTTTTTCATGTAAAAAGCTAAGCATAACCTAATTAATTAACCGGCCATTGACCCACATCGATCACACCAAATTTCCTCATGAGAACCTAGCAATAGCATACACCAAGCCAATTTTTTTAGTTCTTTAAAAATCACTCGCACTCTATCCTAAGCCAATAATAAGAGCACCAAAAAGAAACTGTATTAGGTGGAATATATAAATCTAGATTCTATCTTTGGCTTATAATAGTATGTTGCATAGAAGGAACCAAAAATCATTACATTGTCGCATCAAAGCAGAACTAGAAATGGAGAGAATATAATATAATGTGTGTGTGTGTGTAGTGTTTTTTTCTTGATAAAATACTTGGGAGGAACAACTTACTGTTAATTGGCTCATAGAATTCTACAAGAAAAGCTGCTACGGACAAACTGAATGTTAGAGTATCCTGTTGTTCATCTCTTGGACGGGGATTACAACTTACTCCAGTGTTTGCCCATGGAAATCTCCAAAAGACGACTCTGTTTATATTTCGATTACTTTCTCTAAAATTTCTCCACAGCTCAAAAACAAATGGATTCTTACCTGTCACGAGCACTATCTCCCGACGAGGCCTCTCCGTATTGGCACAACAAAGGAGACAGTGCATGGCAACTGACGGCAACCACGTTGGTGTGCCTGCAAAGTGTACCGGGTCTGGTAATCCTCTACGGGAGCATGGTGAAGAAAAAGTGGGCCGTCAACTCTGCCTTCATGGCTTTTTACTCGTTCGCTATGACCCTCCTCTGTTGGGTCCTATGGGCTCATCGCATGTCCTTCGGCTCCCTAACTCCACTAATTGGCAAGCCTGATGTGTCGCTCAACCAGAAGTATCTTCTCTTGCAGTCTGATCACAAGTGGGTGCCAATTGCTGATTTCGTATTTTACCAGTTTGCTTTTGCCGCCATTACAGTCATATTGTTAGCCGGGTCGTTGCTTGGGAGGATGAATTTTTACGCCTGGATGCTGTTTGTTCCTTTCTGGTTGACGTTTTCCTACACGGTTGGAGCATGCACCATCTGGGGCAATGGGTTTCTTTCAAAGCACATAATTGATTATGCAGGTGGTTTCGTCATTCATCTTTCTTCTGGGGTTGCTGGCTTCACTGCTGCTTATTGGGTAACATATCATCCATGTTAATGCATACCAATTACTCATGCCTCTACTAGATTCATATTATAATATGGAATGGATGATAATACACAGGTGGGTCCAAGACATTCGCATGATAGACAGAATTTTCCACCAAACAATATAATTCACATGCTGGGAGGTGCAGGGTTTTTATGGATGGGATGGACTGGGTTCAATGGTGGAGCTCCGTTTGCTGTAGGACGGATAGCATCTTTAGCTATTGTCAACACCCACGTGTGTACAGCCACCAGCCTCTTGGTCTGGGTTTGTTTGGACATGTCTGTGTACAAGAAAAGCTCTGTGATTGGGGCGGTGCAGGGGATGATAACAGGTCTCGTCTGCATCACGCCTGGCGCAGGTGAGCTCCCTCTCCCTTGTGTTGTGTTTGATGAATAAAAATGACATTTTCCTAATCTATACGAGTAAATGAAAATATGGGGCGGCAGGGATAGTGCAGACATGGGCGGCATTGGTGATGGGAGTGACGGCAGGGTCAGTGCCATGGTACACCATGATGGTTCTGCACAAAAGATCAGCATTTTTTCAGAGCGTTGACGACACACTTGGAGTTTTCCACACCCACGCCGTGGCTGGTGTGTTGGGCGGGTTCTTCTCCGGCCTTTTGGCTGAACCCAAGCTTCTGAGGATGATGTACGGGGCTGACACCTCTTTCGGTCCGGGCTTACTCTACAGTTTCAAAGATGGAAAATTCCACGATGGTTTTAAGCAGATTGGTTACCAGCTTCTGGGAACGGTTTTCATCTCTGCATGGAACGCCGCCATAACCAGCTTAATTTGCATCTTCATAAGCCGCATGGTTAATCTCAGGATGGATGAGGAAGACCTTGAGATTGGGGACGATGCCGCGCACGGTGAGGAAGCTTATGCCCTGTGGGGAGATGGAGAAAGGACCCCAAAACCCTTTCGTCTCCGCATACCGCCAAACATTCCTTCCATTTGCAGGCATTTACTTAATTCATCCCGAAATTTGTAACCATTATTAATTAAATAGTTGATGCTCTTACAGTAAAAAATATGAATTTCAATTATATCATGTATATTCTCTTTAAAAAATTACGTTATCAATCTTATTCGGAATATATAAACTCATCACTTAAAACTTTCTAACAATAACCTTGTGGCCCAAAATTATACTTCTTTCTCTACTTGCCTTCCTTTCAATGTAAATCAAATTTCACTTTCTGGGTAACATTGTTTTGTCACAAGTACACGGTAATAGAGTCTTGTTATCATATTCCATCAAAAATCACATTCTCTCTACTGTGACCTCAGTGTCCCTCAAGTGAAAACTAGAAGCTCAGGCCAACGCATTTTCTTGCTGTACATCAACATATTTAAGAATACATACAAATCTGTAAGCTGTCCACAGGAGTATAACTGGGATTACGGTTTTGGTTCTCTAATATCAACATCACCATGTCAAGGAAAACATCCTTTGTGGTTGACAACAATTCAACCAAATCCCTTGCCCAGATTTACAGCCTGGCAACGGAAAGTCCTATGTTGGTGGAACGTGTACCTATGATTTCCTATCATTCTTGACTATGCACCCCTCCTCCTATGTTAGACCTCTGAACAACAGCAAACCTATATAACTGCTATGCCCGATGCTTCTAGGTTTAATTATACTGGTTGTCCATTTTGTCACCTCCAATCAGATAACTGGACTTACTTCCATAGACTGGGAAGACACCAACTTATCCAGAAGCAAACATTGTGGATACTTCCCACTTTCGGATAATAAACATATGCAGGCGGATGTTGCTTTGAAATTGCTAATTCTCATGCATTGACTTGCGAAGCTTCACTAATTTCTCTTTCAACGATGCTGCAAAAAATAATCTGTACCATAAGGATATTTAACATAAAACTTTATCGCAAAGTTTACACAGAAAATATAACAAGAAAAACAGGTGGTTTCTTTTTTACAACGATGTATAAGATACCTGCATCATTGTACCTTTCCTCTTTGACAGCTAAATTCATGTTTCTCACCAGATTAAGTTCCTCAGTTAGCAAGTCTGGACCATCTGCAGCGCTGGACAAGATACAATTGATGCTTACATATAGAGCAAAAACAGAACATATGATGACAATAATGAGGATGCAACTAACAAGCATACCTGTCAAGAGTAACATCATAGACAGACTTTGTACTCTGCAATGTGCCCATTCCATGACTGATTCTAATAGCATCAGCCAAGACAATTTCTTTATTTACATATATGGGTGCCTGCATGAAACAAATTGCAACCAAATATAACAGCAGCTTTTGGGAACTATTCATCTGAAAAATGCATGTAATATGGAAAAGTAGAATAGGTTTCAGCATAAAGGAGGAAGAGAAATGTGGTTGAG